TATTTAGACTATTATTATTTGTATCTCAATAGTTTCTTGTTTTATCTCAGTTTATCTATTGATATTGTTCTAGTTTAAAATAAAATTATTATTCTTTTAATTATTATTAATATTATTATAATTATTATTCTAGTTTAGGTTTAAATATTTTTGAACATAATATCTTTGTTGTTTGCAAAAATAATATACAGGTAACAGATAATTTTCTTTGTTCTAATAGTTCTTATTCATAAGTATATAGAGCCTAATATTACTATTCCTTATAGCTAATACTACTCTTTTAGAAAAGTGACAACCTTGTTTATTAGATTGTTTTGAGTTAGCAAAACTATTGGCTATTGACTTGCTGTATATATTAATTGTTGTATTTGAAGAGCTATAGTTATTAGATTAGCAATAATACTTATTATCATAGCTAGCCTATACATAACTAAACTTCTAGCAAATATTATTTTATACATTTAGGCCTTTTAATTACCTTTTGTAAAGTATTAAGCATGAATAGTCTCACTACTAATAATAAGTCTAAATAAAGTCCTTAAACAAATATCTGTTTTTTACTATTTTAGAGTACTAACTACTTATTCAGATTATTTAGCTAAATAGCAATAATATATCTATAACATATTGATTTACTGTCTTATCTACTCACTAACATTTGTTTAAGAGCTCTGTATTCTATTAGACTATCAGTATCTGTGTACAAAATTTAAAGCAGAACTTATAAAAACTTTAATTAGAAGCTTATTTATTATACTAATATTAGATCTTTAGATTCTTTGTTTTCTTTTTTTCCTACTAGAAAACTGCAAATCTGAATAAATAAGTATTTGTGACTACTAATCTTCTAATTCCTACAATATTGTTAGCTTCGAATGCTTTACCTATAACTTTAAGCTATTTATTCAGATCTTGGTTTTGTTTTTTAAATATAGAAATATTAATAAGATTTCATTTTCTAAAGTTTGTTTGAGATTCTTGTAGTTAACTTAGAGTATTTTCATAGTTTATAATAGTTGAAGTACTTAGTTATCCAAGTTCTGTTGTTAGCTATAAATATTGGATTGTCTAGAATTATCTAACATAGATTATTATTTATTAATATATTATTTTCTCTCTAAAACACTTCTTCATTATTGACAGCAAACTAGCTTCCTTCTATTTTTGTTTTACTAATAGCATTTCTCTACATTTTACCTTTATTATTATTATTATTATTATTATTTATTTATTTTATTTATTTTATTTATTTAAATACTTTCACTAATTATTTCTTTTCTATACAATCAACACCAAAAATATTATAATATAAGAGAGTAAGAATTATATATAAGCTAGTTTAGTCGGTATTGTAAGCATTAAAAGGAGTATAATTTATTATTTTTTGAAAATAAATTTATTATTGAAAGAACAATTATAAGAATCCTTTTATCTTTATTAATAATATCTTTTTTTTTACAAAGTGTTAATTGATTGCTTCACATTTCTTCTCCCATTGCTACTTATATAGTCTTTTGCCTCTATATACCTTCTTACTACTAAACCTTCATTAAACACATTAGTCTTAATCGTTAATAAATTGAAGTAATAAAAATGACATACAAAAACATTATGAAATAATTGCATCATAGGTAGTAAAAGATAAATGAAAATAAGCTAACAATATAGTAATAATGAAGTAATATGCAGTAAGATAACAAAATGAAGTAATAAAATAAAAATGAAGTAATAAAAATGAATGAAATAAAAATGAAATAAACTCATCCTAAAAATTGCGACGTCCCAGCATCCTGACGTCTTCTATCGTTATTCCGAGCTAGCATTATTCACGTGACCTTTTCTTATCGTGACAACTGCGCCTAAAAGTTTTGACTAATTAGTAAAATTGATGTTAACTAATCACAATTGATAGTCATCCACGACATTTTGAAATTTACTGCTACTTTCATAATTCGTGGAACCCCTCTACCCGAAATATTCCCAGTCTTGTCCAGTAAATTACCTAACATTTCGGAAACTGTATTGCTGTCTTTGGATTGGAGGTCTGAAGACAGTGATATAGGTTTCAAAAGGTTAGGTAATTACCGGACGAGACTGAATATTTCAGGTAGCGGAAAAATTATCAGGTGATCCAGTGTAGAGGTCGGAATCGTTGTAAAATTTAAAACCCGAAAATACGATTATGAAAAAACCGATTTATGCTAAATCGGATTGGCTTAAACCGAATTTAATTCGAATTGTCGGATAAATATTTAGCCGAAAAGAAAACCTGAAATTACCTTTTTGTTACATTGAATAAATTGGTTACTAACACGTACTTTCGAAATTTGATAGAAAAAGAAAATACTGAAATAAAACCGAATGCTAATTTGAAAACCGGTTTGTCGAAGGGTTACAACAGAATTAGAACATTACAAACCGATTTACTATTTAAACCGGTTTAACCCGAAGTTGAAGTTGAATTTCATAATTCGGTTCCGAACTCTACTCCAGGAATTATGATAATATGTGCGCTGTCGTCAATAGAAATTAAGCAAATTGTTTTTATTGAAATTTTTTTGAAACTTTAAACAACAATAACTTAACAATAACTTAATTAAATTTAATATAAAATTGTTTAAATGAATTTCTACAAACTTTAACATTTATTTTTAAAAAAATTAATAAAATTTGTTTAAAATTTCAAAAAGATTTACTTAGTTTGATTTCTATTGACAGCAGCTCATGTTAGCTTTAAAATTTTCGGGTCGGGTTCGGTTGAAGTGCTAACCCGAAAGTGTTTCAACCCGACCCGAACTCGACCCGTTCGGAGCACTAGTAATGATTTTTAAATTATAAAGTTCAAACTTTGAAAATTTAATTACCATTGACTCTCTAATATCCTGAATTTACACTTAAGTATAATATAAAGCAGAGTATTAGAAATTTATGTAAATGACAATAACATAAAAATGTAATAATCCGTACACTGTTTGATATTTTTCTTCAATTTTTTTACATAGTTTTTCAAATTCGAGCTTTTCCAACTCTCACTTCAACAAAGTAAAATCTTAATCAAATTTGCGATCTATTTCTTTACCCAGAAGATCGGATGATTTAGGCAAAATTTCTTTAACATTAGAAATAAAAGTATCATTTCTCTATTTTAAATATTTACGAAAGAAGGTGTCGATAATTCGTTGTTTAATTTCTTCATTCGAACTAAAACAACTCTCTGAATATACGTAAGCTCTTAATAAAAGTAGAACCATCTCTATTATTTACTATTACAGTAGCCTGACTTGAAATGTCATTTATACGGCTATAGTCCAATTTCGAGTTTGAATTAGAGTAAGAGAATAACGATATCACTATCTTCCAAAATTCCTTGCTGTGTGTCAAAGTGTTTTTTAACAACTTTATGCAGATCATTTTCACTATCCATAATATAGAGTACAATTTAAGGGCAGAAACCGATCTCTAAAGAATTATCGATGCTTTAATTTTTTTCCAGGTAACGGAACCAATTTTGGCAACATACGCAATTCTTTGTTGTATTTCAGAATATTTGGTGATATGTTTAATAACTATGTAACTATAGATTCAAATAAAGTGAAGAATGGATAAATATATATTACGCTATTTATTGCGAAATAAAATTTTTTTTTTACCAGATTCATTAAGTTGGGCATTCAAAGTTTCCATTGATATTTTACTAAGTCGAAGTTCAAATTCACTACAGTAAGTTATATTTTAATATAATTCATTTAAAAATGAATTATCAAAAAAAAAAAAAAATTATTATTATTGCCAAAGTTCAAAATAGATAGTGTCACGTTTAGTGATGGGCAAATCACGGTTTTACAAAATATCCCGCACGGGATGTGAGTTATGCGCGTGATCCGCGCATGATGCACGGGATCCGCGCATGATGCAGCGGGATAGAATTACATTGTGGATTTTTTAAAATTATGTTAATGCGGGCCAGCTGGCCTGAATTGGGGATCATATTAAAAATCCCGCGCAGGATCCAAAAAATCACGCGCCACTAGTCACGTTATACCTGATATTGAAATCTGATTTGTATTTATAAACACCAAATTTCTGTTGTTTTTTTTTCAATTACAGTACAGTATTGTATCTAAGAAATATAAGAGTTACTTTTTTCTCACATTAATCGCCACTTTTTTTTCTTGTGTCTCTCTTTATTATGAATATCCAAGAAAAAAATTACTTTGAAATCGTCTTGCCTATTAACTATAATGTTATTCATTATGCAGCCTTTGAGGTTGCCTGTGGAAGGCTAAAAACAATAAAGAAGTCTGAAATATTCGACAAATATCAAAAAATATCCAGAAACTATTATTGTTAACGAAAGACGTTCAATACGAAGAAGCAATCAAACGCTTTGAGGTTTTTTTTAAAATTTAATATGTTTTAGCTTATTATGATATAAGAAATCATAATTTGTCTCGCAGCATGTGCCTGCATGAAGAATTTTGATTTTGTCGTAGTGTTATTCACTGCTGCTGAATAGCATTGTGTTTGTATTCGAGAAATTTTTGATTTTGTCATAATGTTATTCACCGCTGCTGAATAGCATGTGTTTGCATTCAGTAAAAATTATAATTTGTTATATAAACAATCATAATTTTGCTGTAATGTTATTCACCGCTGCTTAATGGCATGTGTTTGCATCGAGAAAATCCATTTCTTTATAATACACTCACCGCTGCTTAATAGCATGTGCTTGCATCAAGAAAATCCATTTCTTTATAATACACTCACCGCTGCTTAATGGCATGTGTTTGCATAGAGAAAATCTTAGTTCTAGTGCTATTTAATGACATGTGCTCGCATTAAAGAAATTTGATTTCTTTCATTCTTGCTTTTATTAATAAGCAAAATATTAATTAATAATTTATTTATTTGTAAAGAGAGAGAAACGTCTACCATAAATTCAAAAAATTTTTTTGAATACGAAGAATGTTGTCACATTTTCGCAGTCTGTATATCAAATTATGAGTAATTTACCTTATAGAAGTAACGATCCAAAGAAATCAGAATTCTTAAAGGCACTTGATGAATTTACGGTAAATTTGGAGTGTATAAGCATTGTCAAAGAAAATCAAACTTTTTTGAATTTAGTAATTTTAGTACTAATTAGAACTTAGGTTTAAAAATTTTAATTACTAATACTATTTAAAATAACGTTTTTAGAAATGTTCTGATAAAACAAGCATTCAGGAGACAATAAATGAAACATTTAAAGATTCTATTAATGTAATTGATTTCGGAAGTTTGGGACATTCGGCACCAATTTTATCTTTTATTATCGATTTTGATGATCCTGATCAGCAAATTTATGATTATTTTCGTTCAAAGCTTGGTGATAAATACGAAAATTTAAGTAAAGTAAAAGAAATAACCTTTTTAGCTGAAATAGATGAATTTTTAACGAAATATGCTGAGAATAAAACAGCATCGTCAATGAGTATTAAAAATGATATGGTTATTGCAGCCAGTAATCTTTTTCTTCAAATGTAAGTTATAAATTGCAAAATCTTAATATTTTAACTAAATTATGCAATGATTTATTACAAAACTGATTTACGTAAATCATTTCTCTATTTTTTTTTTTTTTTTTTTTTTTGTATACAATTTGTAGCTTTAGATTGCAACAAAATACACAGTTACAAGCTTACAAACGAGGTAACAAAATGGACGAAGGAACATGGGCAAAAATTACTGTAGATTGCTTAGTCGAAGCCAGTGTTGTCATGGGACACGAACGCGGACAACAGACAGTCCGGAATGGGACATCCTGGACATGTCCACCAAATTTTTTCGTCCCGGACAATTAAAATTATAATAAGAACAGCCGTGTTAGCCAATCAGGTTGTTCGATAAACCATATGACATGGGATAACCATCACGGACATGGGACATGGGACACTGTCCGCGTCCGCGCAATTTTGACGGGACAACGTCCGCGTACAACACTGGTGATATCTATAGGATACAAATACAAGCAGTTCTTTAATGCCAGGAAAGGAGTACGAAGTAGTTTATGGTTTACAGGCAGGTGTACAATTCTCGGCATTTGATTGGTCCACGTGACTTTGTTCATCACGTATCGTTATGCATTGCCTATTTTTCGCATGCCATTTCACGAAACCGGAAACAGCGGCGAGTCCGTCGCTTGATATTCCAAATACTTGCGTAACCTACGGTAGGCTTTACTGAAAAGAGGCGTGTTAGGTTTGGCGAGTTGGTTGGTTCCGTAGGTAGGTCATTATATTATTTGAGTAACTCTCTAGTCTTTAACCTCAGCTATACCACACTACTTTGGGTAAGCTGGACAAATCAACCACAGTTGTACCAGATACGTTAAGTTAACAACTGGACAGGTATCGAATTTAACAAGGGATCACGTGAGCAAGATGATAACGAGAAAGGTTTGACTTTATGATGTTTTGGGTAAGGATAGTTTAGTGAAGTTAGGTTTAGCGAATATTTATTTAAGAATTTTTATTGAATAATGTATTGGGTCAGATTATTTTTCTTAATAAAGCAAAGACGGGAATTTCGAACTGTCTTCTCTTTAGGGCATTTACGGCCTTTATTTATAGTATATTTTACTTATTTACATCTCGGAGACTATATTGCCATCATTCTCTATGTGGTCTATATGAATTATAATGCCTATATTATTCCTATTCTCCTTAACGCTT